AAAATAAAAATAAAAATAGGGCTTTCGCTTATATTCTCATTGAGTTCTTTTCACTTAGAAGTATGTAAATTTGTAAAATTTTGGAAAAACCCTTTTTTTCTTAGTGTGTGATTTCGTTTTTGACTTGGATATGCTCTTAACCATACCACGTATTCTACGTTTAAATATAGCGGCTGTATCTCCGATACAGCCTGCAGACCAAGACGAAGGCGCTGGACTGTTCCTTTTTTTTCTTCTTTTTTTTTTTTGCTCATTAATAATTCACAATAAGCAATTATTATCTCTGTATGCTGGTCATTGAGCAATGAACAGTATTGTCAAGTAAAATTAGTTGAATATAGATTTATTTATGATAAAACCAAAATTAAAAATTTAAAAAAAAATTTCTTTAATGTGGAACACTTGGAATTAAATTGAAAAATTTTATAATGACAAATTAATTTCCATATGGCATTTTTTAAATGTCGACAATTTTTAGTAATTTGAGTGCCTAGTGGGAATTCGGCATAAGGAGCTAAGGAGTAAATGAATTTTCTTAGCCCTTTGCTTCTCGAAGTCATTGCTGCTGTGCTCTTCTTCGCTCCGAAGCAATATGTTTTAAAAGTTTGTGTTTTTACGAATCTTCACTAATCGAGTATTAGACTATGGCTGAACGTTTGGCTCGACTTCGGCAAAAGATTTTACTTTCGGTGACCCATCTTTGCTCGACTCGACTTCGGCAAAAGATTTAACATTCATTCGGGTCTAGATATGATGCGAGACTTTTAAAGAATTAGCCACGTACATATCGCACACCGCCTTCAAAAGAGTCACAATTCAAAATTTGCAATTTTTGAGATTATTTACCTTTCAGCAAAAGCTGTAGCAAATTTTTTTTATAATTTGTTAAAAAACCTAAGGTAAGGTCGCCCTTGCCCATATGATTATCATGTGCTAAGAAATACTTTTTCGCATTTTCTGACAAAAGGTATTATTTTGAGTTGTGACTCTTTTGAAGACGGTGTGCGATATGTAGACATATACAAAGTATGTACACCAGTGCGTATGAGCGATGTTAGTTCGGTGCAAAATGATTCAAACATCCTTAATACGCATAGTGATGTGGAAAAATTGTTTGCCTGTAAATAGGGATGAAACGATACCATGCAGGTATCGATATTTTTACTTGGAAGTAGTATCGAAAGAAAATTTCGATACTCGAAAATTATCGATGCCTACATATATTGATACTTTTGACTATGAAGGTATTCCATAAGAACTGAGTTAAACTTTATGTTTTTACGGAATAAGTTCATCATACTCTGTGAATCCCAAACTACAATTAATAAAAGTTATAATGTATAAATTGAAAATAAATAAAACACCATTACATAGCAAAACGATATGTTTAGTGATGAGTGGTATATGTATAACGCAGATAATATATTGGAAAAGATTACTAATGGTTTTACAAAAAAATTCGCCAAAGTAATTCAGTAGATAATTTTCGCCCAAAATTGTTCTTTAATTTATTTTCGGGCAAAACTCAGGATAAGGCCATTGCAAAGCAAAAATTACTTTAGAATCGGCTTTCGATACGAGTATTTTTTCGATACCTACTAAGTACTTGGTTCAAAAGTATCAATGCCAAAAATACTTGGTATCGAACGAAAAGTATCGAGTATATACTTGTTTTTACTCATATCGTTTCATCTCTACCTGTAAATAAAATCGAAAATAGGGCTCGATATGTAGGTATTTAATTTTAAATTTCCTGCAAATTGATTTGTGTTTTGCTTTCCAATTTATTTTATTTTTTGCCTAGCAACTTCCAAATGTCCAGTCATACAACATTGCTGTTGAAAGTCCTCACAAGCAGGTATTATTTATATGTATGTAAAATGATATTGGGTAATCGGTTAGTGCCTAAAGAAGAACGAATTGAATCGCCACAAAATGATGGAGATGTACATACATATGTATGTATGTATGTATGTATGTACTATCGTTGGAGTGTTTTGCAGCTTGTGCGCAATTTAATCAAAATTTCCCCCATTCAGCGCTAAGCATTTGCTTTCATGCTCAATCGTTTGTGATTTCATTGAAAGCCATTTGAAATGGCAAGTATATTGGTGACCACAGCATCACTTCTCTACTCTTCTTTTCGCCTCGTTGTGCTTTAATTTTTAGTGCCCATTTCAACTTGTCAGTAAATTACGAATGGATAGTAGCTATTTGTCTTAAAAAAGTTAACGCTTGCGTAATTGCTTTATGGTGTATTCTCACTTAGTACAGCAATTTAGCGATTGGCCTCTTCATGTCAGTCTTGAAAAAAAAAACGGTAAAATCAAAACAAAAGAGAAAGAGCTGCAGTACGCACTTGAAAAATTCTCTCAACTTGCCTTTGTTCAATTTTATCGTGAATAGTCATCTACTTTATACTAGCACGGTATGGAAGAATTCTACGTTAATTGCTTTAGTTAATTTGGCGTTTCTAAGAGAAGATTAATGCTATTCGAGAAGGATTTACCATGATGGGCAATCAGATACTGAAGATATATAGGTAGAATGAGTGTGGTACATCTAAGTGGGCACACGGAGAATTCAAGCTCTTCGATTGCTAATTGCTCATTTGGGTACAACTCAATACTAGAGGTGCAAAACTATCGATGGCACTATTGATAGTATCGATGTTTTTTATTTTTCCCTACTATCGATTGTTTTTTGGTCCTATCGATAGTCCGACAGACATGTAATTCAGTATTTATTTTAGTTTTATTTCTTCTTTTCTTTTCATTTCTCTTAAATATCCAAGTTGAACTAAAAATTTGGTTGCTACTTTTTTAAAAGAGTAATGTCAAATTTCGAAAATGACGGAAAACCTTGCATCTTTTAAAATACTGCTAAAAAACTGATACAAATTAATTTATACAAAAACTTTCAATATTATCTATCTACTATTTAATAAAAGGTAGATAAAAACCATTACTTCTCAGATAAAAAATGTTTCCTTCTTCTAAAAGTGAAATTTACTTAATGAATGCCTTATATATGTCGGGGGATATCGAAAACCACAAATATAAAATTTCAGTACGCCTAATTTTATTCCATTTCAATTCAATTTAAATTTTCAATAACTTTACTTCTAACTTAAAGGTTAAACAATTAAAAAAGTGTCCAGCAGTTTACAAGGTTATCGAAACGTAATTTCGGAATATATTCTTAAGGAAATCTTCATACGAAAATTGAGCCAAAAGCATATAAATACGATACTATCGACGATATATCGATAGTTTTGAAAATAATATCGAAAACTATCGATGGCCTGACTATCGATAGTTTTGCACCTCTACTCAATACGAGATCACTGCGGAAGATTCTAAGTCTGGCGCCAAACAATTATTCAAGCAGGGATAGCTATAAAAACACACATAATACAAATTTAGTATATATATTCTTCTACGACAGATTTTCTAAATATAGTTCTCATGATATCAATTATCTTTCTATATTACATATAAGCAATTACTAACCGGCAATTAATTTATATTTTATTGCAGCTTGATTAATTTCAATTAAACAACCAATAAACCTAAATACACTCGCCTTTAATCATCATCGTTGCAGTGTAGCCTTAAAATTTTTGAAGTCAATTAGCGCGCACCGCCGCACATACATACGTACATAAATATATCAATCAAAAATTGCCGCCAATCGTGTCACAAAAAGCCGTGTTCATTCGTGGAGGGCAAAATTTCCCATTTCAGCTATCGCTAAACCATGCAAACTGCTGTCGACTGCAATGGCAGCAACGGCAGCAATAACAAAAACAGCAACGCCACAACAACCACCACAATCATGGAGAGCAGCAATGTCAGCGTTGATGCCTGCAGTGAACTCCTGTCACACGATGTAACACCGTCACGTTCAACGCCAGCCGTTCTGTTAACGCCGGTAGCAATGCTGGAACAGACGAGCGTGCTGCGCCATCGCTTGCAAGTGGGTGTCGGTGTCGGCCACAGCATCGGCACCTCGGCCATGAATTACGGCTGCCCGGCCACTGTGGGCGCGACAACAGCACACAAAGTGAGCACAGCAGCCACTACACTCATCGACATGGCCGAATACATGGGTAGCAATGTTGAGTGTATGTCCGTGACACCATCACCTTCGCCACAAGCGTCACCATCTAAGAAAGCAAAACAGAACTGTGCCGACACTTCTACGACGTCAACTGCAAAGCCAAACGTCTCGTACGCCGCAATAAACGCTGACGCTGCGGCGGCGGCGTCTAGTCAGGCGTCTAGTCAGTGTTCTACTTCCAGCAGCAATTCGAGTTCAAATTCCTCTACATCATCTGTGATCGCATCACCAATTAGCATTAAGCGAGATGTGGCGCGTCGACGAGCGCTAGCAGGAGAAGTGGGTGACGGTGACGTTGGCGTTGGCGTTGGCGTAGTCATTGGCAGTGGCAGCAACGCTGATGCTGCACACGTTACAGCAGGTGATATACTAGATTTAAGTGGCAAAGATTGTGCCGAACGACGCGATGCACTAGCAACCAGAGGGCTTCCACTTCATGCCGCATACGAAGAACACGTGACGTTCTTCACACCAACGACACCAATGTCGCTGCCATCACTATCGTCTTCAATGAGTTCATTGTCACCTTGTACGAATTCGTCGAATGCATCGACGCCTGCAACTTCGTCGTCGTTAAGTTCGACGGCGTTGTCGTTACGTTCGACGGCGTTGACGCCGGGAACAAATTCATCGAAATCATCGCCATCGCACTCAACAACGAAATCACCCGCGTTCACTTCCGCTATACAGCTGCAGCATTGGGAGGATATGCCGAAATATTTACAGTTCAACCCGTATGTGCTCAACGGTTACCGTCCATTGACAACATTCAGAGGCTGCCTGCTAAGCTTGTTCTATTGGCACAACGAAACGGTCAACATACTGACGCATGGTAAGTGGAAGAATTTAAGTGAGAAAGGGGGTATATAAATACGTCTGAACCGCCAATTTGACTATATTTGATTGTATAATTCAGTGAGAAGCACTCATTGTATGGCTAAATTTATATATCATGAATTAATTGCTCTTCTCAATATAATAGCCTATTTCCACCAGAAGCTTAACTGCAGTTAAGAGCACAGGTAGTTTGCAATAATTTTAATATGGGGTTTGTTACTTTTTGCTTTTTTTCTTTCGTTTTCTTGTACTTAACATAAGCAATTACCCCTTTCTAATGCTCGGTGAAAACGAACTATAATATTGTCTTTTTTCAATTGTACTCACTTTCATCTTGATAGGCACCGTAGCGAAGCTATGTCTGCGCGTTAATTAGTTTACACAAAACGTATGTACAATGTATTTGTGTGTGACACCAAGCACGCACACTCACACTTACTTAAACTTTGGAATGCATTTAAACTTTTCTAACTGTTGGTTAGTTACGTGGGCGGTAACCTTTGGCAACCGTACGGATTTTCAACTAATCGATGAACACAAATCGCTTTGGCATTTGCTTGCGTTGACTTTTTACAGTTCGTAACCTTGAAAGCTGTCAGGGGAAAAGTGGCAGGCAATGGCAAATTCACATCAAATAAGTGCTGCTAATAAAAAAGTGTGTTTGTATTGACTCGTTAAGTGAGAAGATGGCGCTTGCGAAAATGCTGTAATTGGGGCATTCACAAGGCAGTGGTGTAGCCAGATGGGCCGGCGGGTGGGAGGGTGGAATAGATCACCCCCTTCGTCAATAAACTATCGTTTTTTCTTTTGGTTTATAAACACAATACCATTTTATACTTCTGATTTATCATTTTTTATTTCAGACTAATCACCGTTAACTGACTATGCGCCTTTTTTTAAGTAATCTGTTACTTTAAAGCTAACTTTATATTGAATGGTTGCATTCAAATTTATGATTGTGTCTAAAGTAAAGCATCTCATTATCGGTTTTAAGTTTGTATACAACCAAGTAACAAAAACCGATAATAGAAATGCTTTACTTTAGCGTTATTTTTAAACCAACTTTTAAACATAACGTGAGCTTTAAAGTTAAAGGTTACTTCAGAAAACGGCGTTAAAAGTTCTTTAGAAATAATTTTCGAAAAACGTTCATGAGAAATGTCACACGAAAAAAAAAAAAATATTACTGACAGAAAAATTTTTCGCTTTCCTTCTCGTACACACTGATGAGTGAAATATTTTATGAAATTGAATAATAATTTCAGGACTTAGTCTAATTTTTTGTGGCATTTTTTCCAAATGTAATTTAATGAACGCAGCGAGTTTTCCGATAAAACCTTGACTGCTACTCCCGTTAAAATTCACGCGCCTTCGAAATTCTTATTATTTATTGATGAACTATCTATCTTTTTTGGAAGTCGGTTAAAAATAGGAAAAATTGAAAAACTATGAAACCGTCTGATATTTTTTTAAAAGGAATTTTATACATTAGTTATTTATCTATGTTAAAAAATTTCTTTCGCTAATATAATTCATAATTGATCACATTCCGGAGTAAAATGTCCCACCAGTCACAATGTAGTGGCTCTTATGCACTAAATATCATGAAAAAAAAAATATATAAAAATGTGACTTTCAATACAAATAATAAAACAATGAATCATTGTCTGTCATCATTTTAATTGCCATTTAGCGAATGTTTAAACCTCATCAAAACAAAAGAATACGCATTACGAGAAAATTTTTTCTAAGTTTAATTGGTTTTGCTTTAGTTAATTTGATCTAATAAAATATTGCAAAGGCCATCTAAACTCAAATAATTCCGAAGAAATTATTTGTTTGTGTAAACAAAAAAGAGATATATTTTATTATTCCTAAACACTATCGAATATTTAAATAAATAAATTACAAATTTTTCCTGGAACGGCTTATGGGAATTTAAAACTCACGATAAAAGTTGCTATTTTTCAAGCGTATGTTTAGTTCCCACCAAAATATTTTCTTTCAATTCGGTAATTCGTAAGCTACATCGCTGAGAAATAAAATACTATTGAAAAGTGTTGCCACCTGTTTGATTTTAGTTAACTTATGCACAAATTATGTATATGAAATATTCAGGGTGAATTAAAATTAGAGAAACCGAACTATGCGAGACTTCTCTTTACCCAGAAACGGATTTGATGAAATTTGGCTTATAACTGTGACTAATATTCTGAATATTTTTTTTAGATGTTTGAAGAGGGTTGGCATCTGTTTAAAATCTTTAATACAATTAATAATAAATAAGATTTTCTGTGATTAAGTGACGTGAATTTATTTATAAAATAATATAAATATTTGGAAAAATTCCTTAAAAAAATGGCTGACTTATTCGCATCCTCATAAAACTTTAGTTACGTTCAGCGTTGCCAGGTTGACTAGCGATTTTAACGTAATTTGGGCGCCTTTTTTGCAAATTAAGAAGTTTTTCGGCTCAAATATGACGTTTTTTTGGTACTAAAGTACCAGTAAAGTACTTTTTGATTTTAAGGACAAAATAGATTTTTAGAAAAATAAATAAAGTCAGAAGACAGCCCCAAAAGAAAAAGGACTGTCCTTTGAAATAAAATACGGGCAGTCACCGTTATTATGATCGAAAAATATAAATCCAAAAATAACGATTATTTTTTATCGAAAAATAAAAATCCAAAAATAGCGAATACTTTTTATCGAAAAATAAAAATCCAAAAACAACGATTATTTCTTATCGTTAAAATAAAAAAGAATAACAATTATTCTACATCGACAAAATAAAAATTGTGTAAACGGTTTAATTTGATCGAAAAGATATAGATCGAATTTTTAACTGTTAAATTATGGTTTTTCTTATAACTACCATAACCGGTACGGCCGGCCTCTGCTTAACTGCCCACTAGAGCTAAAATATTAGTACATATATCCACTTGTCACCGTCAATCCTAGATGCATATGGGTTCAGTTTTTAAGTATCCAAAAAATTTTTTAACAGGCCAAAAAGTTTTGTTACATTTTTTACTCTCCATTGTGTTTAGCTGTTCTCGAAAAACTCTACGAAAAATCTTTTGAAATTTTAATCACTTAGTATCTTCAACGTTCGTTGCACTTTGTGCAGTATGATCTTTTTTACGTTGTGTTGATCATTTCTTATATTCAATTACGCACATAAATTGTATAGAATTGTATATATTTACTTAATTAGACCAATGCACTCAAAATCATTTTAGTATAAAAAAAAATCTCGTTTCTCAGCGTCACCAAAGCTAATCAATGCTTTTTATATGTATGGATACATATACATATATTTTCCAAAGTAAATCGTTTTATTTTTTAAAAGCTCGTTTTCAAAATACACAACGTTGCGTATCAAAATAATGGGCTTATTCACAGGGATATGTATGTAAATATACATATTTAATTAATAATCAAATTGATGTACACATTTGCCGGTGCACATTTAACATACAAACATACATACATTTCGATACTCTAAAATTTTTTGCATCCATGTTCATCGTAAAATAATCACAAAATAATAAATATGAATTTTATAAATTTCCAATAAAAAAAAATTAAAACAAATTTACAGTCTATTTTAGTTTTAAAAAACTTTTTACACCACATACTAGGTATGCATTATTTTTTTTTTTAACTAATAAATTTGGCATTTATGCTTTGGATTCATTGGTGCATCATCCGCGCAACTAAATGCAGCTGCAAACTCCTTAGAATTCGAAAGTGGCCCGATTACCCTGAACTCTCCCGGCACATGCTGATCTGTAGATGTTTGCAGATTCTTCACCTCAGGATGCGCATCATTGCACCAAATTTGTGCAAAGCTAATAAAGAACAATTGCTTGAAGTCGTAGGGAAAGTCAGGCAGCTTCTCGTTCATCTTTTCATTATGCGCACGTTTTGCATCCTCATACCAACGCAGATAGGCTTGATAGGCCAGCCGCATGCCACCATTGTCGGCGATATTTTCCGACTGTGAAACACTTTTGGGCAAAAAGCGTCCGCCATACTGATACTTGCTGTATTGATTGCTGAAGCACTCAGTACGATTAAGAAAGATTTCCGTTGACTTCGCGTCCCACCAGTCACGACTGTTGCCATCCTTGTCGAAACGGCGTCCGGTGTCGTCGAAGGCGTGTATGAGTTCGTGACCGACCAGGGCACCCAAAGTGCCAAATTTCACTGCTGTCGGATAGATTTCACTCCATAGCAAGTAGGGCTGCAGTATCGATACCGGCACCTTGATTACATTCTCAATGAGTATATTGGCCGGTGTGTATGACAGTATTTCACCAGCTTCGATTGGCTTGGGTTTCTCATGCAATTTGGCGTACGATCGCTTTGTGTCCAACTCCAATATAGCCAGCACATTTGCCAGATAGTCATTGTTGTTGGTCACCAGCGAGCCAAACTCTTCGGTGAAATTGTGATCTGCGTATGAGTTGATTTCCATTCTAAGTGCCTCCAACTTCTCGAGCGCATATTGACGCGTCGGCTCGGCTATCCAATCCAGCTTGCCTGAAGTTAGCGTGCTTTTGAAGCTCTCCTTAAGCTCTTTCCACATATACTCGACATCGAGCTCAGTTTTTCTTGTGCTATATCTGCGATACACCATGTTATCCACATTTTTGGCGAAATATGACTTTGTCTTTTCGATGCAGGTTTTCTTCTGACTGCGCGGCGACTTATCAATGTCCAGCATATAATCGGAGATTAATGTGTAGAAAATGAAATTGGCCACCACTTCCTTTGGTGTCTCTGGCATAATTTTCTTCAAATTTCGCTGATATACATCGGCATACTCATACAATGGGTCGGTGATTAATTCACCTAACGTTATGTTCACTAACTTCTTAATGTCTATAACTGGAGCGTATTTGGCTTGCATCAGTTCGACAGTTGTTAGCTTAGACAAATCGTCCAGGCTCTGGCCCAGTGTGTCATCAATCAACCCCTGCGCCAATTTCACTTCAAAATCAACAATATCATTTGCTGTCTTGGTGGCAAGTTGAGCATCCATTCCTAAAAATTTCACAAGCTCCTTGCGTATCTTCCGCTTGTAGCTATCCCTATAGACAGCAGTCGAATCATCTAAGTACATCGCGCGACTCTCTAATGGCAAATCGGCTTGACCAATGTAAACTCGATTTATGCTGTTGTCTTTAAAATCGGCCATTATGTCCATGCCAATTATTATATCCTTGCCATACTTATGCGCAATTTTCGCAATAGTTGTCACCCAATCGAACTTCTCCGCATTCCAATTGGCGCCGCTGAGCGCAGGCATTTCACCAAATTCAGCGATTATATCACTTAGTTTTTGCTTATATTTATCCTTCAACTTGACCAAATTAACGCAAGAAACGAAAAAGTTCTGCACTTTATTGTCGATGACTGTGTAGTTGAATTCCGTATCGTTGGTTAGTAGCTTCTCCACCTTGCGATCGAGCAGTTGGCTTAGCTCCTCAAAAAGACCGGTGGTCAGATGTTCGATTGTAGTTGCCGGATTTAGACGTGTCCATTTTCCGCATGCGAATTTGTAAAAATTATTGCAAGGTTCAACGTCTCGATCCATGAGATTAACGATCGAAGCCGTCTTGCAACGTCGCATTGTTGCAATGGTCGATGCTGTTAGCTGTTCGGGTATATGTGTAAGACGACTTGGATCCACTTTTGCGGCTAAAGTGTCTGCGAAAGCTATGAGCATACAACTTAGATAAAACGAATATTTTATTAACGAATTCATATTGGCGCCGCCACGGTCGAGAAAAAGTTTAACAAACGCGTTGTTGAATAATCGAAAGCCGAATCGCAACTGTTTGACTCAAGTCAGAATCAAGCAAATGTTTTTGAGATCAGCGGAGCTATCCCCGTTTTTTTGTCTTTTCTTCACCGGACATATGAGTGAGTGCTCTTCCAAGCGTTGTATGTGCATACGAACATAAAGTACACATCTGTGTTGTGACGTGACTAACATGGGGCTGCCGGGTTATCGTATCGGCATTGTAGGAATGAATGAAGCCAAGCCAGCGGGCATTGTAATGCCCATACGGATGCTTGTGTGTATAATTTATGTGAATACCCTGCAGGAAATTTATCTAACTATAAGCTAACTTAAAGTTGATTAGGAAGGAGCTAAAACTCACTATTATCTGTATATTTTCTTTGACGAAAGCTAACTATATTTCTAAGGCGATGGCCGCGAAATAGTCAAGGGTGGTTACCTCTGCATCAGATGTAGTCAAGGGTGGTTACCTCTGCATTTGATGTAACTAACTAATTTTGGACATAAAATACCAAAAGGAAAAACAAAATATTTTAATTTTTTTTTTTTTTTTAATTTTTTTTTTATTATATTTCATATTTGCTTACATATACTGCTGTAGGTAGTCCCATATTCGAACTCCGTCAGACATAACTTCAAAATGATAACATGGAATTTCGATCTTTCTTTTATTTGTCCTCAATTTGAAAAAGTATTTGCGAAGTGCAGGATGTTTAAATAGAAACGCGTTTAATGAAAAAAAATCTCCTGCATTACTTGTCAACTAGTTTCAAGTTAGCTTTTTGTGGCTAACTACAAGTTATATATTTTATAGAAATCCCGCAAAAAAGCTATTTACAAGTGGGTTATTTTTTATCAACTGATAATTTTTTCCTGCAGGGTATGTGTATATACAAACATACATACGTATTTGCAAATGCTAAGTACATTTGCGCTTGGCCACTTACTAATACTGCAAAATATTGTATTTTGATGAATAATAATTAGTAAAAGCGAAATGTTGTTGATACGACTCTAATGGCTGATTTCATTTTGTTGTTTTTTTTTCATACAAACACTTCAATAATCAGTAAAGCTACACTAGACAAAAAAACAAACAAAAAGTACATCGCCTTTGGATAAATCAATTAAAATGCGACTTGAGTGCTCACTAAAAAGTTGTTGGAAATAAAAATAGCCTTTGTTCATTAAAAAAAACGTCAACTATAATCCGAATTCGGCTTACGATATGTTAACGATAGCAAAACAATTATGTCATTTTGACATATGTACCTCATTTCATATTCTTACGGCTACACATGTTTGGCCGAGCGCAAGAAAGCACGCCAGCTTCTTCTATTTCAAGTAATGCCAATTGCAGCCAGGTGAAGCCAAATCCTTCTCCTACTAGTTTCTCCGCCGTCGCAGAGAAGGCATTGCTCTTCCTCGCGATTCTCACCGGTTTTCATACTTTCAGGACTGGAGCGCTTGTGTCTATTTGCGCGACATGTCCGCACACGCACGACATCGCACATCGGCCGTAGAACCTTTCTCTAAGGGCTGCCTTATCAGATCAGCACGGATATGACGAGAGACTTGTAGTATTTTTTTTTTTTTTTACGTTCGTAGGGAGACTCAATTCGCTTAGCAGCAACTGTGGGCAAGATTATTCGTTGGAATTTAAAGAGCAGTGTTACTATTGAAATTTTTCAAAAACTCGCAAAAAAATTTTACCCTCTGAAAAATGGAGGGAAATTCTGTTTATTGAAAAGCGCAAAAATATGACCTACCAAATCGGGGATGTTCTACCTTCTGGTGGTATTACCAACTTTCGTTTACGACTGCAAGTGAGTTAAACAGACCATTAAAGTCTATCTTCAAAATATTTCTGAAAAATATCAAAATCAATTTTTTTTTTATACATAAAAATAGTTTTGGACAAGTAATTTTTAAGCAAAAAACAAAACCGACTTAAACTCGCATATAAAAATTTAAAAGTACCGTTAATTTCTTCGTGATCTAATGATCGGATCTAAACCAAATTAGTAGGACACGACCTGTGAGGTACCACCTTTCCGCTAAAAAAAAAATAATTATAGAATTTAAAAAAATGTCCGACGAATTGATAACTTCTATTTGCATGTATTTATATTCAAATTGTAACTTTGATTTTTATTAATGCCTGCAAAATAAAGAGTGAAATTACCGATTATTTTGTGCTAACCGGTGCGGTTTATGATTTATTCACATGTGTATACACTTAAACTTGTCTTCAGTAGCCATAAATGTAAGTAAGTAAGTAAGTACTTAAGAAAGTAATAAAATACGCAGATATTAGGTATTCACTTGCAATTTTAATGAGTTACAATGTAATTTGTTTATGTGTATATGCTATGTATGCCTACAGTAATTATAATTCTATATGTATGTATGTACTACGTAGTACGTCTAAGCCACTCAACTTTCTGAAAACCAGTTTATGTCATACTCAGCCATGGCAATTAAATATTTAAGTAAATGAAAGCGTTTACGACAGCGTAACAAGTTTTCTTAAAAAGGATAAGTATGCATAAAAAATCTTTAATAAGCTGTGTTTAACATACGAAAATTTATATTAAAATTAAAATAAATAAATAAAAGTGAGTAGAACTGCGTAGCTGTTTACAAAATTTAAAGCGATATGTATGTATATACATACACACATATGTAAGAGTATATATGTATGTATGTACGTACATTAGAGTGATTGAGTCGGTTTTTCCAAACCGGTTGGCACTGCTTTTTTTTATATCTATAGGCGGTTATTTTGAAATCTTGGTTTTTTTGAATATCGAATAAACGGTATTTTTTTATCGAACAAACCGGTTTTTTTCATTTCATAAAAATCTTGGCCACTCAATAAAAATTTCGAGTTTTTCGACGTTTTCAAGGCTTTTTCCAATTTAAGGGAAACCCCTAAATCGTTTTAAAATCATATCATATTTAATTCCATGTTTGGCGCATAAAAATTTTCTACTTGTTCTACACTCGAAAAGGTTTTCGCTCTTTCAATTGTAGTCACATCTTGCAACTTTTATTTCTGCAACTGATTTCCGAAAAGTGACAGCAAGGCTGGCTGGCTGTTCCCACATCGAAATAATATTTCTCTTTCTCAATTTGACAGCGAATTACGTGGAAAAATTGGAAATATTGCCACGTCTGACACGCTCTTTGTTGGAAATATTTTTATTTTAATAGTTGGTCATGACTTCGTACTAACATAAGATATTTCACTGTATGAAAACTAAATAAAATAATACCGTTTTATAAGGGTTTTTTCTTTATTTCAAAATCGGGAACCGGTTTTTTAAATTGCACTTTTTCGAATAACTCGTAAGCCGAGTTTGGAAAAAAGGCAAATATTCGAACACCCTAACGCGCATACATACATAAAATACGTCAATAGATGCGGCTTCAATGCTTTCATTATCGCTATTAATGAACTGTTATCAATAGACTGCGGTTTTTATGCAGAATATGGAGCCTAAAAATATGTACCTATCAACTATAAACAAAATGTATACAAATTTATACACTTTCCTTATAGTTATGTGGGTCTTAAGAACAGAAAATGTACTATAATAGGTTGGCGCGCGGCCGAATTTCAACCCGCGCCTACGGAGAGGTCAATTAACACAGTGTTTATTTATTTTAAATATTTAATTAGTCTTATAAACCAATATTTTTAAATTAGTGATGAATGCTTTGTTAATGCTAATACAATGTTTACATTACAAAGTAGTTGAAGAAGATTATAAAATGTATAGCTTGTTTATTCTTTATTAGAAAACGAGACCAATGTTCAGATCTAATTTTTGAATTTGGTATCGACATGTGGAATATCGAGTCCTTTTACCCCGATATGAATGGATACCCGATATTTTTGCAGCGATACTTTAAATGATACCATATCGATACTTTCGGTTTGGTATCGTGTCCCTAATGGTTACTAGTAAACAAACCGTTTTGGTTTTTTTTTGAAATCGTTATTTTTCGAATACCAAAAAACGGATTTTAAGAAACGAATAAAACGGGGTTTCACGTAGTTATTTACATATGTATATATATACATACATATATCTATCGTCGCTAGTCAAAAACTCCATAAAGAAGCAAATAAAAATAGATTTTCTCAAAACTGTTGAATGGTGTCGGAACTTATTTTCCTATTATTTACTAATAACTTTGTTCTGTATCTGTTCATACGGGGTATTGCACCCCAATCGACGCTAAACATACATACATACATAGGTTAAACATAATACAGATTGTAAACATAATATTTACATACTTGTAACCGCATTTTTTGCTGTGTACCACACAAAGACTGTCTAACATTCGAACTCAATTCATTGATGAGAAACTTATTATCAGTGCCTTTAACTGCTTCTGATCTCAGCTGAGCTGCTCTTTACTGGTTGGCACTCCTCTCTGCCACACTTGCACAATGGCTGCTCCGAAGCGATAACATTCTGAACTTTTCGTAAAGCACGACTAGTTTTATAGTTTATTTAATCCAATAGCCACAACTGGCTGCCCTCTTTTCCGCTCAGTATTTGGTGTGGCAGTAAGAGTTTTCATGTCAAGCGTGCCACATGACTCAGCTAACAAAGTAAACGATCAGGTAAACGATCGATATTTTTTCCATTTAATCAACGACTAAAAAACAAGCACAACGAAGGGAAATGATTTGTATAAGCAGCGTAAGAAATTTTTCATTTAGGCTACTTTGCCTACATTTACTGTTATGCGTGCACGACTCACAACCGGCTTCAGTGCCGCAAGTGCAATTGTACGAGCAAAAAATATCGCAGAGTAACGACACCGTCTATGTGCGTGACGTAATGCGGCAGGCAAAAGCGGCGGAAATGCGCAACTACATGCAGCCCGAAGTGGACGCTTGTGACGACTTCTTTCAGTACGCTTGCGGTAATTGGGCAAAAATCAATCCGACAGATGCGCGCAATGTGTTGGAGACAAACTTTTTTGCCTTGCTAGTCAGCACCTACAATCAAAAACAGCTGAAAGTATTGACGGAGGAGGCACACGCTGACGACGATGCCGCTACAGTGCAGCTGAAGACTTTCTTTGACGCTTGCCGGCAGTTGGATGACAAGCAAAGGGAACGCTACAAGCTGAAGTTGTGGGAGGTGGCCGAGGAATTTGGGCAAATGCCAGCGCTCATGCCGGAAGGTACATGGGAAGCCGGCGAATTCGATTGGTTGGCGACCATCGCGCGAATACAACACAAATATGGACTGGACATAATACTGCAGCTGGGAATGCGAGAGGACTTTGTCAATAAAACAGTGAGTAAACTTTTCATTGGTCAGCCAACGTTGGCGCTGCAAAGCAGAGCGATGTATAAAAGTCAGGCAACAAAGTGGCATCGCGACAAGTATCAGGAGGAGATAGAGCAATCGCTGCAAAAGTATTTGGGCATCAAAGACGACGTAGCCATAAAGACTGCACGCCAGATACTCTACTTTGAATCACGCTTGGCCGATGGCATAATGGATAGGAGATTGGGTAAAACACTGCGATCCATGGCTGTGCTGCGGACCATCGATGAAATGCTAGCGGCGTACGAGGGCGCCATAGATGTGCGTGCGTACATGAATATCAGCTTGGGAGAGGCGTTCAACGATACATTCTACGAATATCATGTGGAGTACCAAAGGAATTTGGTGCAAATGCTTAAGGAGATACCCAAAGAGCAAGTAGCTAATTATGTCATTTATCAATTACTTAAGACTTTCTTTTTCGATTATGAGGCAACGAATAGCGCGAAGGAGAAACTATGCTTGGACAAGACGAAACTCTATTTCGCCAAAGTGCTGGATAACATCATCTACCGCAAGTATAATAGCGGCAGCACAGTAGCGGATATAAATCTCATTTGGCTAAAAATAAGAGAGATTTTCCAAGAAGAACTGGAATCGGATAGCTTAAAGTGGATATCGGCAATGACACGCAAAGTGGCGCTAGAGAAGTTAGCCGCCATGCGTTTAGAAATCAACTCATACGAAACATCTAAATTCGCTGAAGAATTCAAGGAACTAGCGCTGAGCCACACTGACTACATTGAAAACATAAAACAAGTACTCATACATAAAACCAAGCAAGGCTTGGCCAATCTGCGCCAGGTACCGAAACCAATGGAAATGCCGGTGGCGCTCTCAATCTCTCCCGCCTACATTGGCAAAGAGAATTTAATAAAGATTCCGGTTATGTTGTTGCAACCCAACTTCCTTTGGTCTGATCATTATCCGCACNTTGGCCAATCTGCGCCAGGTACCGAAACCAATGGAAATGCCGGTGGCGCTATCGATCTCTCCCGCCTACATTGGCAAAGAGAATTTAATAAAGATTCCGGTTATGTTGTTGCAACCCAACTTCCTTTGGTCTGATCATTATCCGCATGCGCTTAAATTTGCCACACTGGGCTACTTGGTGGCGCACGAATTGATTCACGGTTTCGACGATATGGGGCGCAATTTCGATGCTAACGGCACTGAGCAATCCTGGTGGGACAACAATTCCACCGAAGCTTTTAATGAGCGAAAAAAATGTTTCAAACGACAATATTCACTGTATCGCTACAACGGCAAATATCTGCCACCGAGCGAGCTGCAGGCCGAAAATATCGCCGATAATGGTGGCATACAGCTCGCCTACAGCGCATATCAGAAATGGCTTGCAAGTCTAAACGACACCGCTTTGGTCGGGCGCAAACAGCTGCTGGCGTTGGAGACATTGCCAAATTTGAACTTCACAAATCATCAGCTATTTTTCCTTGCCTTCTCGCAATATTGGTGCAATGATGTGGATGAGCGTTATAGGGACAAAGTTTCATTGATAAGTATACATGCGCCAGCAAAGTATCGCGTGATTGGCTCTTTGGCGAATTTCCAAAGTTTCGCTGAAAAGTTTCAATGCGCCAGCGGCACCAACATGAATCCAAAGCGGAAGTGCAAAATTTATTGAGAATGAATCTACTTTTCGTTGTACTTAAATGCATTGGTGTATAGCAATACAGACATTTATGTGTATGTACCTTAGTTGTAGTATTAGTTTGTAAGCATTTCAAATGTCACAGCAAATGCAGGTAAGGGAATTGGTAGATAAATAAAAAGGAATTTAATATTTACTATGATGTTTTTTTTGCCCTTTCAATGTGACAAGTTGCAGACAAATCGCAGTCGTTTGTATGTTATTCTAAGATTGTAGCTGTGACAAAGTGGCAAAGCTGTGAATGCATCAAAAAAAAATACTCAGTACCCCTAGGGGGATTGCAATGTCTATCATTTGCAAATGTAGCGCTTACTTTTGCTGGCTGAATGCAATATCGATCGCTATGTTGAGGGAAATTGAAACAATTGTGAGCGGCAGCAAACAAAATGCAGAAAAACTTTCGTCGAGTAAAAAAAATGCATTTGCTGGAAATTTTAGCGAATTTTGAGCAAACAATTTCAAACGCTTCTCACCCAGAATGGAGTTGGAAATTCTCTAGCAAACTTTATAGCAAACTTTCTGTTAAAACTTATTTCGCTTTGTAATTTAGAGGGTAGCGTTGAGTGCACTCTACCTAAGAATAGTTTTTTTTTTTGTGTATTTTTCTAAATTTAAAGTCATACAGCAGTTATATAGCTTTGGAGTTATTTCGTTCATTTATCAAGAATTAGTTGAAAACTCTTTTCAGGTGAATTGTATGATGATTCAGGTGAAAAATGAAATTTACATCGGATTAAAAAAAAAAATGTCAAACTATTTAAAATTATGAGATTCTCAACTATAATACCACTTAATCCTCGAAATTATCGAATACTAAATACTAAAATTTTTAGGCGTTTTTTCCGGCGGCCAGCAATTCAAACTTTCTCCTCTTTCTTTGCTCTACGGAAAATGCATGTCTCTTCCCTCTTCTCCTCCCTAAACCGATACCATATAGCTCACTTTAAGTCCGATCTGAGTGTGGCCCTGTAGGCAGCATATTTTTTCTCTACAGTGCAGTGGTATTTCTGTTCGCACCAGTAGTTGCTTCGGGTGCCCTCCGAGTCCGATTACTTCTTCGGCGGCGGTACGTAAAGCTGGGGAAATGTGATTTCACTGCTTGCATTTTTCGTTTGGGGGAAAAGTGCTCTCAGAACAGATGTGTCTTTGTCTGCAGCTTTTCGGTGTTGGACTTTCCTTGTTTTGCGGGACGCATATTCTTTGATCTAGAAACCCCTCTGACGTCTATGAACAAGATATTCTTAAAGACTACACATATTAGAAAATGTTATTAGTTCTACATAAATAAGTTTTAAGTCGATTACGGAAAACACTCTGTGACAGAGGTCTAAAGGTTCTATTTAAAGGGGCATTTTTACTATAAGGAGTTTTACACATTGCAAATCTAATGGCCCTATTGTGCATGGCGACTGATAGTCGATGGGCAACCATATACAGCAAGAAATTCTTCGATTATGCAACGACATTAAATAAGTTAATTGACAACGCGAAAAATAAGAGGGAACCCCAGCTAAGTCGATCAACTTCAATCCGTTATCGGAAGTCTTCCCTCAGTAAGTGCAGCATTTTTCTTTAATGAAAATGGTGGCAACAAGCTCGTTACCTGACGCCACAAATCAGACACCACAAACCAGTTCTCGAATCGTAACATCCGTTCACGGATCGAAAACCATATAAAAGAAAATTATGTGATTTCTCTAAAGCGACAATTATCCGTAATCACTGTTGCAGATGTCGGCAACCAATATTTCCATTTGTTTCGCATTTCACTAATCTATCTGGGATATTACGAATGTTATATATTTCACATACGCGAATGCGAATTTTCGGAATACGAATGTGTGAATGCGACTGCGAATTGCGAATGTTTAGGAATAGCATAAAAAAGCTATAATCAACTTAAGAAGTCACTGTTTTTATAAATTACAAATTGTATAAATTACAATTGGAATATAAAAAATTATTACAACATTGAACCAGTGTTACACCTACATACATATATACGTATACGGTGTTTCAATCTAATAGCACTGTACGGACGCTAAAATGACACACAAGAAAACGCCGAGACACGTAAACTAAATTTAGAGTTGTAGATTACGGAAGTGTGTACCGTTTATATATATCAAGTAATTTTCCCAAAATATTTTTATTTTAAGTTTGCATTGCAAATGAAAAAAAAATCTAACTTTAACATAGAACTCATACGCTCTGTACGAGTATGTACGGCTACGGCTATGTACGATTTGGCGTATGAGTAGCATTATTCCCATTTCATACAAAAAATTATTGCACATTTTCATTTAACAATTCAAAAGTTGTTTATTTTTCCATCGGTTTTTATCATTTGTAGTTAAAGTCTTTTTGGTAGGGTTTTCAATTGGTAGGGTTTTCATTGAGAGAGGCTCGTTTTCTTTGAGATAGGCCTCCAATTGAGCTTTTATTTCACATTTTTTAATGTCCTTCTAGGTTGCTTGCAAGACTTTTAGCAGAACTTGTTGAACATTCGCGTTCGCAAAACATTCGTATTATTTAATGCGAAATATTCGTAACATCCCTATCATCTATACTCACATATGCAAACCAAATTATCAGAAAACTGCAGCATTCACAACCACGATGGAACTGATGATGCATTTTTTTCTTTTACATAAGTACACACGAATATGTATGCAATTAAGTTTTATGTAGAAACATTTCTGCCACTCCGATTGCTGTTGTTGCTCTCTTTAAAGCTTGTTCTCCACTTGGTCAATGAGGAACAGAGTTTGCAGGAAATGAAAATGTTATGTTTATGTAACAAATATGCAAACATTTGAGATACCATACACTGGGGAGGCACCGCGAGGCAGTAGTAACGGCATACATACAGACATGTCCTCAAAAATGCAGACAAAGAGATGAGACGACTAATTGCTGCTTTACTGTACTATCATTTCAAGGCGATCCAACTGGCATACAGTTTGGTACCACCAAGCGGGCAAGTCGCCTATGCCACTTTGAAATCATGTAATATGAAGAAATACTTTGGAGAAAATCATTTTGAAAGGGATACCGATGCGGATTGCCCCAGCAGTTAAATGGTTACATTTTTTAAATGCAAATATCAGAACACTGTGACAAAGATTATACCTAAATACGTACGAATAATAACACGGATACAAAAAAATCGTCGAGATCTTAAAAACAAACTAAAAAGACGGCCTTGTTATAATAGTTTCTAAATATGAATTGTTTTCGAAAAATGTCCGACTAACGGCATTAGTATAAACAGTTGCGACTGGCTGCTGCTGATCCTGATACTTAAAAGGGCATTTTTTAAGTAAATTTTTTACCTCAAGGCGTTCGAGCATTGGAGCTTTAGAATGAATTAGTCTTTGTCTGTTTAGCCAAGATCGAACAGTCACTGTTCCAANGTGCATATGAAATCGAAGTAATATTCTTATTATTATTCATAACAGACTTAGTAATTTTGGCACTCGATGTGGACCAACTGGTATTACAAAATGGTTTCGGTCTTGAAAAGACAGTTAATTTTTTTGAATAGCCCGCTTGCTTCCTACAAGACCCTTTCTTTTAATGCAATTGTCTATTGATTCATTGAAACACATCTGTACATATACATACATATAGCAGTGTGCACAGATGTATATAAATGCATATACATATATATGTACATACATATGTATGGATCTGTGTACCCTTTTTTGTTGTTCCCTTGTACGTAAGCATATTTTACGCCTTGTTTACCAAGTAGTGCATGTCCTGGTGCGCATCAGGCGAGGTCAAGGTTTTTTTTTTGTATGCTTTTTTGGGCATACATTTATACATATTTTACAACCCACTCATTTCCTTTTGCTTTATCACTTGTATGTGTAAATGTGTGTGTATGTATGTACGTGTGCTTTTTATTACATTCACCGTCTAGCAAGTGACAAACGGAAGTTATACTAAAAAGCGCAAAATGGAAGACATTTAAGCTATGGTAGTAGAATAGAAACCTAAAAATGAACGCAAGGACATGGATTTCAGGTTATCATGGTATGAGGAAAATTTAATAACGTTAATATAAGCAAGCATTGTAAGCTTATTTAAGCGGTGTTGCGAAAATTTGCATCGCATTTGTTACGCGAATGATTCGCATCATTTTATACATTCGCATCGACATTCGGATTCGCAACAAATGATACGAACATTTTGCGAATGCGAATATATACATGTGGCGTAACGCACATACATACATAAACAAATAGGTTATACTATGTTCACATTGCGGCATAAATTACTTTGTTTCGATCGCATAACTTCACATGAATGAAGTGCGTTCAGACTTGCTTTCATGATTTCTATATACATTTGATTAGCATGTGTACGTACGTACATATATTGTACTACTGTCACCTCACGGCTATGCATGCTTTGAAACACACAAATTTATATGTCAGCTTCATGATTTACTTTCTAGTGCCAATTTCGTAGCTTTCCTTACAGCCATGTCTAAACAAAAGCGTCAGCGTTGGCTGGCTGCCAAAAATTTCTCATGCTCATAAAATTTGTATGAAGCATACGAAAAAAACGCGGCGTCAACGCTTAACGGTTAGAAAATTTTTGCCGATTTTGACAGGGCGTTTGGAAGTGATTTTGGCTGCAGAAAATGGCGAGGCTGTTATTTTCGTAGTTTACACAAACAAACCTATGCTTATTGTTGGTTTTATTTCTTCATTTGACGTAGCGTTGCCGCTTTTTTTTTAGATATGGCCCCACGTCTTCGTCCTCTACGAAGTTGATGCTACAGAACTGAGATTTTTTTTTTTCGTGAGCACAATTAGATCCGAATCGCAGTTTCCCGCAATATCACATCTCTACCTTTAAAACACCACTGTGATCTGGAAGACTTAATATAAGTTAAATAGACAGTTCCTTGCGAAATACCCCTCAAGCTTATAAACATCGGTACGAAAGTAAGCCTGTGCCTCCTTCCCACCACTGCCTCCTGTAACCTCATTCCTAAAAGGGATTTTAATAGAGAAAGAGCTAATTGATTC